GCCCCCCCTCCCACGACCGCCAGCCAATCGTGGACCGGGACTCGCGCCTGCGGGGTCGCCATGGCAACTGCATCCTCTCATTTTGCCAATGTCGAGCCGGCAGCTCCTTTGAAGAAAAGACGTGGAAATATTGCACCTTGTGAAAAACATTTTCTTTCGTCAACATGTGACTCGGGCCCACTTTGACCTGGCTCACGTACTCATGGTGCCTAGCAGGCTCTTCTCCAGCAGCTTTTTTTTTTTTTTTTGCTCTTCTACTTTACACATATAAATGAGCCTTTGTCGCCTCCTGTTGGTCACGTTTGGTCCCGGCAGGCAGCGCGCGGTGGCTTGAGAGTACAAAAGTCATCCGTGACACGTATGACGTCATGATATACATTTCTTTATTATCGTCAAGTCAAACAACCAGAAAGAACGTCCGTCAGACTTTCTCGGCGGCGAAGCACTGCGATTGGTGGGCTGCCGGAGGGTTGCTGTGGCAACGGCATTTTCCCTCCTCCTTCCCCTTGTTACCTTGGCCTCCCACTACCGTCGCCCAGCCGGTCTGTTTTGAAAGGTTCGAGGGTCACGACTGACAGTCGTCGCTGTGGTCCGACGCACCCTGTGGCGACTGGAGCGCCGCCGCTAACACTTCGGGACGCAGCTTTCGGGTCTCGGCGATCAGCCGCTTCACGCCAACCATCCATTGGCTGACCTCGGTCACGTGATCCACCATCAGCGAGCGATGGATCTCGTCGGCCCAGTCCCAGCGTTCCGCCTGCAGCTCTGGAGACGCGCACGTGCGCCACAGTCACACACGTGCAGTCACAGCAACGGACAGACGGACGGACGGACGGGCGGACGGACGGACAGACAACCTCGTGACAAGGCACTCATGCGTCTTCTCACAGGAAGACTCAATCGACCTGATGTCCAGCTGTCCTTAAAGAGGCGGAGTCTCTTTTCCATGTCGTTACACACCTGAGGCTGCGCAAACGACAAACTCTGCGTTGGAACTCAACCGACTGCTGATGACATAATCGCCGGGTTGGGCAACTGACCGCCACGTCCCGCCTGCACTCGGCCAGCGCTCGCAGCAGAACCTCAAGCACGCGCTCCATGTCAGGCTCGGCCTCCGATTGGCCGCGGTCCTCGTTGCCCTGACTGCTCACTGGCCCCGCGGCGGCCGCAGGAGGAGTGGCCTTCCAGCCAGGCGCCCGACCTGTAGGGGGACAGAGGAGACATTTTGCACCAAGTGACGACAACACTCGCAATCCGGCTCCAACAAAATGGCAGCGTCTGACCTGCGGGGGGAGGGGCCAAGCCACTTGGCGGCGGACCCGAGGGGCTGGGATGAGGAGTCGTCGGTGGGGCCGCGGCATCTGTCGACCAATCATGAAAAAGACAAGCTTGATGATGGTACGACTACCATGTAAAATACTCTGCAACTAACATTGAGCAACACGGTAACACTACACATGTCAGACTGGAACATTACAAATGGACGGACAACACCCGCGTGACGCCGCACACGTCCAACTCAACACCGGAACACTACACATGCAAAACATAATGTGACATTACACGACACATTTGAACTAACGCTACAATGACAACACATCACATAACTGTGACCTGTGACTGACAGTCGACCACAAGACGCTGCCACTACACACACCACACACCCACACAGGTACAGTGTGACGAACGCTCCACGTATACAAGAAATGTTGCGAGACCAGGCAGCGTGGGCCTCTTGTTCAAGAGGTTCCTCTGTGGCGTGCGGGCCGTCTGGAGACCGTAGGAGAACTGAGGGGGGTCGTTCCATCCTCGTTCCTGGTTACCTAGACGACCACAAGGTAATACTTGTTTACTTTGTTGATTGTGCTACTTTGTCAACACGGAATGTACGATGGGCAAGAAACGTTATTAAATGTTGCATTCCGCTATATACGTAATTATACGGTCAGTATGAAAGGACACCAGACCTGTGCTAGATTGTGTACATGACAAAAGATCGACTGTGACGTGTCGGACTAGCTCGTAGCTGCAGTAAAGTCGACACGGATTTTACGGGACGTATTTGTCAATATACTTTATATTTTTGATCCTCCTACCCGGTTTGACGTACATGTCCTCCATTGTGTGTCGAAGTTGAGGAGACTAAGATGACTTTAAAATAGCCGGCAACAAAAAAAAAAGCCGCATACAAACACGACGGTGTTTTATTTCCGGGTTAGGAGCAGCGTCAAGATGACGTCAGTACTAATCGGTGTTAGTTTTAGTTTAGGTTAATTCTCCCCTTCGGCGTCGCACTAGGATTGTGAATGTGCGACGAATGTTCGTGTCGTACAAAAGAGTTAATGTCTCTGGGACTTGGGCGTGGTTACTTTTGAACGATTGGAAGATACACATTCAGTATTTACGTGGAGTTTATCTAGTGCCGTAAAGTATACGGTCTGTCGTAAAGTAGTGACGGATTTTTCATGTTAAAAAGTCCCCCTCAGAATATAATAAACTTTGCCGCAGAAGAGCATTGTATTTAAAAGCATTTTGAGATGAAGATAAATAAGTAAATAACATTTTCACCTTCTCTCGTGCGACGTCATCGGAAGGCGGTGCCAGAGCTGGGTGGGTTTGACGGTACCGGAAAGAGGCGCCAGCGCGGGTCACTCTTGACGTCATCGCGAGGGAGGAGAGCGGGAGGGAGTGGTTTTGTCTGCTCCATCAGTGAGACAAGAAGACACTATTACACAAGGACACCAGACTGATGCTGTTGCCTTGGAAACAAAGACATGCAGAGAAGTTGAAGAACCTTCATTGGAGCCTATGAATTTGTGTGTGGGTGTATGTATTTGTGTGTGATGGTTTATGACTGTGAGAGTGTGTTTGTGTGTGCGGGTCGATGAGTCCGTGTGTGTGTGTGTGCGCGCGCGCGACGTGTGTTCACTCTGGAGGGCAAGCGGCCGATTGGAGCCATGATGGGAAAGGACTACACGTTGGCCATCATCATTGTCAACTGTGACGGTAAGAGCTTTTCGTGAAATCAACTTTGCCACACGCCAACAGGACCGACAGGAAAGGTGCGCACCCCCTCCCTGGTTTTCCGAGTAAAAAGACAAGAAGAAGAGGTGGAAAAGAAGCCTCTCCCGATGCACTTCCTGTCTGTGCCGCTTTATGAATTATTCAAGCCTCTTCAGCTACTTCCTGGTCAGCAGCGTCATTGACCTGCAATCACATGACACGTAGCAGATGTTCACGCTAAATGCGAGTCAGCAAAAACAAACAAACAAACAAACAAACAACAACCCCGCAAACACAAAACACCACCGCACCTGTACTTGGATTGCGAAGTAAACCGATGGTGGCCCGATGTTGTGAAAGATGCCGCGAAGCTCGCTGCCCGCCATTTGGTTGCCGAAGCTGACTTTGCTGTGTGGCCGCGTGCGTTAGACAACATTTGGACCGACCAGAACCTTTTGCTGGACCCGGACCTTCCCTCTGGTTGGAGGACCATCCGTGACTCCACAGGAACCTACTACTGGCACGTGCCCACCGGCGCCACCCAGTGGCAGCACCCCCGCCTCGACGAGAAGCCGACGCTGCCGCAGCCGGACGCGCAGGTAGCGCCTCTTCTTGTCTACTCGTGTTGGGTCCGTGACAGGTACAAAAGTTCTTTCATGTTCGGACAACTTCCTGTCTGTGTCGGAGGTGAACTTGTTGATTTTGTTCTGTGTCCCAGATGGACCTCGTCATTCTATTTTGATTCCATTTCCGGTTCCGTGGCCCGGATGGGCTTGTTTTATTGAGCCACACTTTGCCATCTGTGTGTAAAACGTCCAGTTTGCGGTCAGTAGAACCTCTTGTTTGTCTTCCTCTCATTGTCCCGTTTGTTCTTCGAAGGCTGCACAAGGACCAGCGGGCTTCGGCGCGATCCCGCCCGACACCAGGTAACACACACACGCCCACGCGCACACCGCAGACGCAATTTGTGAATTTGTGGCGGTCGTAGGTCTTGGAGGTCGGACGACTCTCGTCACCATGACAACAACTCGCAGGTACGACCACACGCAAACACAAACCCAATCCCCGTCCGTGTGCCCGACTTTCTCGCCGCATCTGCCCATCTTTCCACCCGTCCGTCTGTCTGTCTTCATGACTGCCCGTCATCTGGCCCACCAACCTTGGCCTCGCTCCATCTTCACGCCTGCCGTCCATCCGTCTGCCCACGAACCGCGTCCGGCAGTGGTTCTCGGTGCGCTCGCTGGGCTGGCTGCAAGTGGAGGAGGACGACTTGTCGCCGGGTCGCAGCAGCCTCGTGGTGGGCAACGTTATCCAGCAGCTGTCTGGCTGCAGCGGTCCCCCCGAGCAGACGGATGGCTTGGGGACCTTGGGGGAGGTGAGACAAGGCGCCACCTGTGTGTGTGTGTGTGTGTGTGTGTGTGTGTGTGTGTGTGTGTGTGTGTGTGTGTGTGTGTGTGTGT